TATTTTATTGAAGCCGATGCAGCCACCTACTCGTTTCATTAATTTTATATATAAAGATATCAAATACGTAAGATGTTGACTTTAGAAACACTAAAATTTATTTGGCGAATATTTCGGCTACTCCTGTAGTCTTTGTCAACGCTTGACATAAAATGAACATATTGAGAAAGTATCTTGGCAAAATACAATTTGAGAAACAATACGGTAATTAAGTCAAAGCAAGTCGGCATACGTCTATAAAGGATTAATGATATATGTACAAATAAACAGTGATAAGGGTGAACAATGAATGAGCAAGTGGTGGACTGTGGGAAAGCATTACTATAGTTAATGCATGGAGGAATTAATTCATCCATGGTTAATGGATAAGCTAAACATAAGGCACAACTAAAACCAAGAACAGGAAGCGGCTATGAAAAAAAAATTATATATATATATATATATAAAATTATACAAAGCAATATTGTAAATTAAATAAATGTGGGCCTATAAAAGTATTGAAAGGCAAATAAAACATAGCTATAATGATGGAAGCAGGAAGCCAAAACAATGATATATATAGTATTGTATTAGGCATATAATTTATATAGATATAGTGCATCTTGAAAAAATGAAACAGATAAGTTCTACAATAGTATAAGCTAGAGAGAAAATACCAACAATAATATATAATGAATAGGCCTAACAGAATAATAATAATAATAATAATAATAATAATAATAATAAAACCAGAATAGATAGTAATAAAATTATAATTAAAAGTGACCGAAAACTAAGAGAAGAATATTTAGAGGCAGAAGGAAAATTCACTGATGAATCCCAAGTCCTTATTGAGGCCGTGAGTGTGTGTTTTGAGTTTTACGCCTTCTTCATATATATATATATATATATATATATATATATACAGACCAGAAAAAATTTTAATGCGGTCAGTTTAAGTTACCGCTGCGAGTTTAGCGCCCTCCATGCATATTTTGACCAATCAGAGGCCAGTAAATTTCTTCGTTTTCACGAACAGACACAAACATTTCATGCTAATTAACAGGTTAATTAAAGTAAAGAAAAGAAAAATAGTTTGAACATTTGAATTTCTAATGCTTTATCTTTAAACATTATGTAAAAAATGTTTAAAATTTCAATATCTTGATAGTGAAGTTTACGGATTTATGAAGTAGTCCACGTCGAACGCGTTTTCCTCAAAACGTTAATTGTTTTAGTCGAAATTGAAGTTTGTGTCTCTTGGTGAAAACGATGACGATGAAATACACGTAAAAACAATAAAAATACGACGCACAATCATTGAAGGTTGACTTGCGGAACACAATTTTATTAAAATATAATAAAATAGAACGGATATTTCGATAGCTCCTACTATCTATTTTATTATATTTTAATAATTTGTGTTCCGCAAGACAACCTTCAATATATCTAAATATTGATGAGAAAATAGAATTAATTTTAACTTACTTAATCATCTTTAGTAAACTCACCAACCATTCACAAAGTTAGGCCCATTTACGGTATGTTATTCAACAGAGAAGCCGCCACGAAGACATTGTTATCTTCAGAGAAAACAGAGCACTGAACAGTATTGATTCAATGCTTGCCTTCTAACATGAATGAAGTGCATCATTTCGATGATCACGAACCTTTCGTCTGCCGTTGCTAAGCGATGGATAAACGCTTCAGCGTACGTTACTTAGTCGACCATGCCCACTTCTCGATGAATACAAGAGCCTAGAGTGCAATCTTAATGGATATACCGAACAAATTGCCAGTGCTGTGTCATAACTTCGCCGTCACTGCGAGCAGTACTTAGACTCAACTAACCTTGATATTTGAAGCACTTCGAAACAGTGCAAGCTTATGAAATAATAATTTATATTGTTTTCCTGAGTTGACGCATAGGCCTAGATGGTGGATGAGATTGTGCTAATAATGACGTCATGCTATAAAATCGCGCGTATATTACATTGCAGAAATAAATTGTTACATTTTAATAATAGTTTGTATCATGAGTAATTCTCTCCATCGTCATCATAAACCTCTTCATCATCATCATTATCATCATCACCACCACCAGCATATCGTCATCATCTTCATCATCAATTCGATCTTTAAGTATTATAATAGTATAATATAAACCAAGTGCATGTTCTGTCAATACCGTGGGCGTCACTACTTATCATCATCAAATTAATATCACCATTTAGCCTATTTGTAATATATAACTACAATTACAACGTGTTTACAAAGCTAAAAGAAACATTGTAGACATTACATTCTGGTATTAATAGTAATATGATAACATTATAACTCTGTATCTGAATAATATAACGCAGAAATATGAAAAAAAAAATGAAATGAAAAAAAAACGTCCTGTGAATCAATAATTATAAAACAACCGTTAAACCTTGTTTTTAAACGTCCGTCGACAAAATCCCCTGCGAATTCAGTTGAAGAGCTGTGGTATTGTTACTGAATTGCCCAAGCGGAAAATAATCATCGAATATGTTTTCCATGGAGAATCTTAATGCTACGTCATCCGACACGGGCGCATCATTTTCCTTCACCGTAAACTGATTCAATTTAGCAGTGACTCGAGATCTCAGGCCCTCTATCGCCAACTGATGCTCTTCAAGATCATTCTTAAGATTGAGTGCGTCTGACTTGTTGCGAATGTTCCGGAATTTTTTCCAATCATTTGGAGCATGGCGCATGATAAGTAATGTTATCTGACCGGGTGACTTGCTGTGTAACTTGTGTGAAGGGGAATTGCAATCAAACTCTTCTAGTAAACAAAAGAAATATTGATAAACTAATTATTATTATTATTATATTCTCTAATATTATAAACAATGAAATATAAAATATATACCTTCTTCTAAGACAATGTAATGACATAAATACTATAAATTGAGGAGAGGTAACATTCAAAACGGCAGTTATAACCAGCGGAGGTGGTCAGACAGGTCTGTACCCCCTGTCGTCCGACGCATGACTAGGTCGTCGGAACAAAATTTAAAAAAAATGATAATTTGCCTATCCAAATAACGTTATGTTGACTGCCGGACAATCCCTAATATTGTGGTTTCAAATCACCTTTTGGACCATACTAAGCCATAAAATACTCTCCCAGTGAACCCTGCAAGGGAGCTTTTATTCCGGGCCGCCGACCGAGGCTTCGTTGGCCCCTTGGCTGGGAACCCTCCGTCGAATATGACCCCTTGTTGGCAAATTGCTGGCGCCACCGCATGGTTATAACTATTATAAAGGAGATCATTAATATTACTTTTTTTGAATAATTGTTGAATGTAAATTAACCCTTATAGTCAGGATCAAACATAATAAAACATGTTGAAATGTTGTAATGCGAATGAACAATAACATGTCAAATTTGTAATCAATATGTAGTCGAATTAAAGAAAATAATAAAAGTGGTGAGGGAAGTGAAATCGATACAATTTCCATTCTTTTTAAATCTTTTTTTTTTTTTTTTTTTTTTTTCAATTTTGACAACATAATCGTTAGGATACTATGTAAGCTTCGAATATAATAGAATTAAGTTGATACGTAAGTCTTTTTCTTGCTATGCATTCTAATACAGCGTTCCGCAAACTTTTTACTTCAAGGCCTATTTACGATTCCAGACACCAAGCCGCGGCCCAGCAGCCCAGCCGCGCCAGGGACCAACATACCAAATCCTGGCAAAAACTTTTGATCATGAAGCCTCCATGTATATACAATATTTAAAGGAGATCATTAATATTACTTTTTTTGAATAATTGTTGAATGTAAATTAACCCTTATAGTCAGGATCAAACATAATAAAACATGTTGAAATGTTGTAATGCGAATGAACAATAACATGTCAAATTTGTAATCAATATGTAGTCGAATTAAAGAAAATAATAAAAGTGGTGAGGGAAGTGAAATCGATACAATTTCCATTCCTTTTAACTCTTTTTTTTTTTTTTTTTTTTTCAATTTTGACAACATAATCGTTAGGATACTATGTAAGCTTCGAATATAATAGAATTAAGTTGATACGTAAGTCTTTTTCTTGCTATGCATTCTAATACAGCGTTCCGCAAACTTTTTACTTCAAGGCCTATTTACGATTCCAGACACCAAGCCGCGGCCCAGCAGCCAGCCGCGCCAGGGACCAACATACCAAATCCTTGCAAGAACTTTTGATCATGAACCCTCCATGTCTATACAATATTTTGATATCATTATCTGTTCTCTCAGTGATAAAATTTCATTGTATACAAATTAAATATTATTTTATTAAATAAAATAATACCGTACAATTTTTGATTGTTTTTTTTTTCTACCATGATTCACCAAACACCGTTCAGCCACACACGTCATAGCTCTCTCCTTCCAAAAACTTTTACGCACACTCTGTTACTCCGAAACTTTGAAAGACTACCTTACCTTACAGGTCTTATTTACTTTTATCTTTAGCTCATGACTTATCCCATCATTCCTCCATACCTGATTTACTCATCTTACAACGGTTAAGACGATAACGTCTAGCTCCCGAGGGGGCATAGACACAAAAACCGCTTATAACTCAAATAGCACGCATCATCTGGCACTTCAGCAGCGAGTGCAAGCGCGCATTCGAAGTAACAATGAAGCGGCTTTATTAAAAACTATTTTCTCCATAATGAAACGTCTCTTTTTTTTTTCAATTTCCAGACGGCTTCGGGGCCCTCCAAAAATGTTTCGCGGCCCAAATTTGGGCCGCGGACCATAGTTTGCGGAACGTCGTTCTAATACATTTATTGACATTAATGTGGGTATGGTTGAGGGATTATATGTATTAATCATGCTACGATAGCACAGGTAATTGCATTACAGCAAAATAACAATGGTTGAAGAGACACCAGGGGCGAGCGGCTCTCATTGTAACTACGATTGCTAGTATCTGAGTGGTGTTTTAATCCATGTGATTGTCTCTTATGTCAAATTGTTGGTTTTTCAGAATTAGAATATTTATTTTTATTTATATTTTTATATATTTAATGTAATCTTTTATGTATTTTGTAAATATTCATTCTTGATTTGTAAATGCGTATTTTAATGTTTTTGTGTAATTTCATTAAGCCTATTTGTAAATAAGGCCTTTATATTGTTGTAAATGCAATAATTTTAGCCTTTGGCAACTTTTTGTATTGTTTTTATACCAGAATAAAATAAAATAAAATAAATATGCTCATTGAAGTAGAGAGTCTCACAAAAATAACTCTTGTGGTATGTATAATACATAACGACTCGTTATCAAAATTTTTTGAGTAGGGCCTAGTTCTCGTTCCACCCTAAAGACCTGTTTATATTTCAACGATAACGATAAAAACTAAAAAGCAATTGTTCATATAGAAAATAAAAGAAATAAGAGAAGTTTTTACACTAGAACGATTCGATAATGATTTATCAGTTATGCAACAACAACTAGGGCCTATTTTGACAAATCAAATCAGATGACGTCATAATCATGGAAAACATTAAAATCGTAGTAGTAGCAACGATTTTATCGTTTTTTCATGATTATGACTTCATCATATTTGATTTGTTATATTTTGTTATCATATACACGATAAATTGTTATCGAATCGAAGCATTCTATAATGCTTCTCCAACATAAAAAATATTTTTTGGCACACCCCTCTTAAACCAGCTCATGAACGGTATTACATTCCCATCTTCTTTGTATAAATCACTTACTAACTTCTTTTCATACCTTCTTCAAAAATACTTTTAAAAAGATCTCTTATCAATTTGAATGTGCATATTATGCCACAGGCATTGATAAATGCAAATTACTTTATCTGATTTAACTAAATCAAAATAAGAAAACTATCCTTATAATAATGTGGAATATTTAAAAGCTTGATCTGCGATATATTCTTATTAAAACTCAACAAATGTTTTCCTTCATAATGAATTGCAAATTTATCCAGAATAATTTTCCAAGCTGAGGCAAACATTATCTTTGTATTTTTATTTTATTTGAAGTGCCTTAATTATGCTTCTTATTCGATCATTTTTAGACCCCCATCTTCGATATTGTTAATTAACGTGTTTCTTTTTACCATACCTTTGCCATTATTCCAAACAAATTCATATATAATTTGTTTTACTTGTTGAATTATAATAGGGCCTATTTGGGATAAATATTACCGATGTAAAATAAATAAATTGTGATATACTAAAAGTTTTGACCGGTATAATTTTTCCTGCCAAAGTTAGGCGCCTTAGTTTCCAGATATTTAAAATAGATTCAGGTTTACTAATTTTTGGTTCAAAGTTACATTTTTCGGATGCTGCCTCATCATAGGAAAAGTAAACACCCAAAGCCTTAATAGGACACCTTGGCCATTGAACATCACAAGGTTTTTCTGTCAAGAATTTCTGGATCCTACCCACATACCTTAAGATTTTTTGACATTGAGTTTCAGCCCTGAGACAATTGAAAATGCTTCAATTACTTCAAAGAGAATAACAGCAGGTTTCTTCAACGTTGATAAAATTAGAATTTAAACTTAAAACTGGGCATTCTCTGCGTCGTCAACCATCGTCCGACCGTCGTACAACGAATATAACTCCGCTCACTGTGAGCACTAGACGACGCGACTTTGTTTGGTAATTAATTGCTAATTGTCATCATAAAATCCGTTTGCGCGCGTGTCGTGGCGTTGCGTACTATAGAATTGCGCCGGACGACGGACCGTCGGTCCGGCCCAGTGAGTGCCCGGCCGGCTTTAAAGGCACTGCGCCGACCATAGTCGGCCACCCTGATTCTACAGAGAGCGTAAAGTGACGGAGCGCGTGAAACGGATCATTTTTAAATGACGTTATGCTCAC